TTTTATTTTCTATTATTTTTCTTTGTTCTTTTGATTGCGGTAGTCGAATTTCTAACAACATATTACTTAATTATATATGCTCTCAGTTTCATATTTTACTTTAAATTCGATTTGAGACTTCCACAAGAAAACGCTCAACACACCCCGTGTGTGAAAACTCAATTTGAGACTTCCACACCAACACTCAACACACCCGCATGTGGAGACTCAATTTGAAACTTCACTCTGTTAGGTTTTTAGTTGTATTGACAATTTTTTAGACAAAATAATTATTGTAAAAGAATAAGATTATTACAAAAAGTTGTAAAAGTTAAATAAGTCTTTTGGAGGGTTGTATAGATAAATTAGGAAGTATGTGGGATCGAGTAAGGAACAAGAAGAAAGAGTCGCTGGATTTACGCTAGACCGTAGCCTAGTTGATGCTCGAGCTTCCAAAGCGGAATCATTGTCGCTAGACTCTCGCTAGAGCGACGCACCTCTCGCTCGTCTAGCGCTCGAGCGACAGTATTTATCGAGAAACCCAAGTTTACGTTTTTCAAAAGTTTTATTTATCCTATACTACATAAACTCCTCATATTATAAATACTCGATGCCCAATACACCCATTGTTTTACTTCCTATATCATTGTTCCAAGATCCAAGAACGCATCCAAATATTTAAATTAACCTTTTGATTCATGAAATCAATCAACCACAAATTTGGAAAAAATATCGAATTCTTATAATTCAAAACACCCACTTCCTAGATATCATCAAGAAGTCACTTTCTCAATAGCTTTTAGAGGTTATTAAAGATTGAGGAAGGTTGGACTAGAAGTACAGGAAGAGTACAAGAATGTGGTGTTCTTGGTATTCCACACGAGATAGATAATTCTAGAAGATCGGGAGCTAGTGTGAGTGAAGCACGTTTCAGCGGGTCTTAGAGATTGCAGGAATCAGATCAACGAGTCTAGTGAATTTTCTAGGCGGAATCATAATGTAAGTTCTTATTGTCTAAAAACTACTGGCTTGATCCCAAAGTTTTTACCGGTTAAAAATTTTTTCCGTCATCAAATCTTGTGTTATTTACGGCTTTAATTATTTGTTGCGGGAATTCAACATAGGGTAACTTGACTTGATAGATTAAATATCTAGAACAATTAAAAAGTGACTTGTTGCTTTTAATTGATAAATTTAATTCTGTCTTATTCACTTATTATGTGATTTTAGGATTAAACTAGTAACTTTCACACTCAACACATCTGCATGTGACCTTATTATTTCAGTCAGTCGATCAATGTATACACGTTAATTATAGCATGTTTGATAATCACTATTGTAGAAAAAAAAGTTTTGAATAGTAATTATTAAGAGAATGTGTGGTTAAAAAAAGTAAATAAATTTTTTTGATATATGTGTAAAATATTTTATTGTTTGAATGTGTGTGAAAATGATCCTATAACAAATCATAAAATAAATTAATGAGCATCAAACCATCACTTAGCATCCCCGTGGAAATAGAAGGAACAACAATGCTGGTAGAATTGAGCTTGGAGCACCGGCACCTCACAATAGGGGTGGGGGTGGGATTTTTTGGACAATTTTTTATTACATGTGGGACCCATTCATGTGAGTTATATGTATAAATTATATCAACTCACTTCGGTACAAGTGGCTAATTCCATGTTGGTAACATTTTGGCCCGACTCTGGCAAAAATCCATGTGTCCCCTCTCATACTACATATGTGAATTTATTGTACACGAGGACACGTACTCATCATCACATTTTTTTTATTCAGTTGAGCTCATTAATGATGACGACTAAATTTGCTGGTAAACCAATTTCTCTAGTCATTGGAAATAGAAAATATTTTAGGGAAAATTGCGGCCGCGGTCCCAAACCTTTCATTTTGTTGCAGATTACACCCAAACCTTTAATTTTTGCAGTCGAAGTCCCAAACCTTTATATGTAATAGCAGCGTCGGTCCCAAACCTTTACTTGTTGCGGTAGAAGTCCCAAATATTTGTACATAATTGCAGCGTCGGTCCCAAACCTTTGTATGTAATTGCAGCGTCGGTCCCAA